CACACACACACACACACACACACACACACACACACACACACACACACACACACACACACACACACACACACAGGAAAAAAATGCCTTAAAGCTGCATTTAATTGACATCAAGTAAAAACTGGATTTTTTTTCCCCCAAAAAAGCTGCTTCAACTTATGTGATTGTTTACTTTAGATAAATAGGTAACACTTTCTTTTACGGTACCCTTATTACCATGCAATTACAAGGTAATAAAAAATATAATATAATTACTACCTTATTACCATGTAATTACGTGGTAATTAGGGTACAGTTTTACTATGTAATTGTCTGCAGTAATGTAGCACTTACCTGGTAATGTATTACAATTCACTATGTAACACCTAAATAAGTAGTAGGTAATTTGGACCGTTTTAAAGTTATATTTTTTTACAAATAGCCACTAACCTCAAAATTTAGTTGCATTCTTTTGGTTATAAATATAGGGTTGAGTTACTATTGAATAGTAATTTGATTGTAGTTACCCAATAAAAGGTGGTTTTACTAACAGTAGTTTTTCTTTTGTACCATAATTACTACATAATTGCATGTAATAAGGTAGTAATTACCATTTAATTACATTTTTTATTACTTGTAATTACATTAATAATTACATTAGTAATTACCATTTAACTAACTTTTTTTACCTTGTAATTACATGGTAATAAGGGTACGGTAAAGAAAGTGTTACCGATAAATACACATCCAATCAGCTGCGAGTAGGGAATAAGGTATAGGATCAGGTCTAAATATCTGCACACTCCCCTCTGAGCACACAGCTGTCTTTGTGTCCCTGACTGCCAGCACACCAATAATTTCTCTTTTACTGCAGCTCACCCAGAGAAATCACACTAAACCTCTTACTAAAGCCTTCATCTCTTCTTCAGAAACACATGCACACAGCTAAGTCCACCTTGTGATGAGAAATAATGATGTTACAGATACAGTATAAATCTTGAAAATTGTGTAATGTGCAATCTCAAAAGATTTTGTGAGATGCATTAGCTCCCAGAGCAGTGTTACAGTACTCAAGGTTGGTCTCTGACGTGACCGCATTTATACGCCGTCTTGTCTCGGCCTCGTTAAAATATCCCTAAAATGCCAGAATATTGTCCAATTTATTTGTTAACGTCATTGCTTTCATTGGATGTAAAACATACTGATTCGGACTCATTGCCATAGTTTCCTGTCACCTATCCCCACCCCTTTTCACTGGCACGCAGCAGCCAGCACCCCATGAAAGTGAGCAGTGGGTGTCTGGGAGCAAAAACGTTGATGTCTGCAAAATCTTCAGTAATACAGTACAATTCAGCTAAATACATCATAAAAAATATATTTGTAAAACAACATTCAGAAGAAAGTGTACAGCAACGTGCAAATTCTGTAGTGCTTTGCTTTCAGAGACAGTGGGCTCTATAAACTTATCACTAAAAGGGAAAGGAAAGGRAAAGGAAGCACAAAGAAAGGTAAGCTGTGTGTGGTATTGGCAAAGCTAGCTTACAATAGCAATCTGCCTCTGTTCCAAAAATACCTGGCCCTCACACAAAGGTTTAGTCAGTATTAGCTATACATATTACACTAGCTACCTGTGTACAGAATACTGTTGAATACTGGTCTTGGTCTTGGGTTAGGTGTTCTCAACTACAACACGACCCCAGTGCTGGTTGAAAACCAAATCAAAAAAAGGATAACCTAACCAAATTTGCTCAATAACTGTAAAACTAGCTGAGTTCTAGCCTTTTTTGTCTTTGTTTAAGGCCTAAATGCACAAATCCACATCACATTTTTATACATTCATTAATTATGTTTTATGTAACATCTTTTGCAGATTTCCCAATAAGCCTAAGTGACTAATATCACTTCCTGCTACGTACATCATGAGGGGCGGCAGTCCAAGTCTTAACACATCAGTCTTTCCTGCTGCTGAAGTTGAGACACAGCAGAATGACTTGCTTTGAAAGGCTGTCAACTAAAAGTTAGATTAAACTGATCATTTCACAGGCCTAAAAGGTTTGCAAATAATTCATTTAGGTTTTTGTTATTTTGCCTTAAAAAGAGACTCGACTTTTCACCACAGAGGTTTGTAACAAAGTAAAATAGTTTTAAAGAAAACATGGGCCAGTTTTATTTTGTTATCTCTAACACTGTTCTAACCGGTAGCTTATTTCTGGTTAAACTTACCAATCTAGTCTTTCAAACAGAGACGACTTTTATTTTAACAATAGTTTCTCCAGGTATACTGTACCTAGAAACTAGATTTCCCTGAAGGACTACGTCACTCCCTGCCTTCCAGTTTTAACAAAAGAGCTCACGTAATCTGCTTGCAGCCTGTGAGGCTCCGTATTCAAATCTAAGATAACAGATTTCAGTAGATCCGCCGCCAGTTAAGGTGATGAATTACTTTCTGCTTTTACTGCATCCAATTGTAGCCTAAAAATGACTGAGTTGAGCCATTTTATGTTTGTATGTTTCTTAGCTGTGGTTGCCATCTTGAATCATGTCGAGTCCAAACAGTAATCAGCTGTACATGCAGTGATTACTTTCTACAACTTAAAAAAAAAAGAAATCATAAAGTGTTTCATGAGATATTCTGCTTACAGACCAGACACAGACATAATACGGCTGAATTCATATTTTAAAAAAAGGCAAAACATAGGAAAGATAAATGATAAATTCATCACAGACACGAGGGAAAACTGTTTTGTTAGCAGCAGGAATCATAAATGACCTGAATAAAGACACCAGTCAGTGAAGTGCTTCTGTACCTCAATCTGCTGCACAGTCAGGTCCAGGAAGGTGTTCTCGTTGCGGACACTGATCAGGCTCTTCGGACCCTTACATCCCATGCTGGTGCCCAAACCTCCATTGAGCTTCACCACCACCAGTTTGTTCAAGCTGTGGGCCACGTTATTAGGCAGGCCTGGTGCAGCAATCTTATCGTAGGGCTGGATCTGAACGAGGCGGACAAACACAAACATAGCAGATGTAAATGGAAAGAGATTTAAACTTTGCCCTCCGTTTCTGAAATGGATTTGAATGGGAGTTAAAGAACAACTGAGTGGTGATGAGATAACCTCAAAAGTACAGTTTTTAAATTAAATGTAGCCGAAACAGCAAGTTTCTCAGTGGATCTGCGCTCAAAAATGCAGCCTAGGTGGAGTA